TCTAAAAATTTCAAAAATTTACTGAAAATTATATAAATATATATATATATATATATATATATATATATATATATATATATATATATATATATATATATATATATATATATATATATATATATATATATATATATATATATATATATATATATATATATATATATATATATATATATCGACTCCCACCACGTCCCTGGAAGTACCGCGCTCAACTTAATTTCTCCGCGCAGCGGCCTTGCTTGTCAAGGTTCGTGTTTCGGAGTTAAAGAGTTGAGAGAGGGTTGTACCACGATTTACAACAAAATTCACCTCCCCCATGGCCCTCGGGTGAATAATTAAAAAAAATATATATACTCAGAGTTTTATGTGTTACAACAATCATCAGGCAATTAGTAAAAGAATACTTTTACAATCAAATTTAACTTTTTTTAAAAATTAAAATTAACTTTTTACGATATGGTTAATGACTGTGGTAAACATTGGTAATTAACTTATTCTTGTCGCTCCGGGCAACAATAACACATGTATTAAATACTATATATATATATATATATATATATATATATATATATATATATATATATATATATATATATATATATATATATATATATATATATATATACAAATAGTATTGCGTACTAAAGTAAGCAATCTGACGTCTGATAAAAAAATATATATATATATATATGTATATATATATATATATATATATATATATATATTATATATTATATATATATTATATATATATTATATATATATTATGTATATATATATATATATATATATATATATATATATATATATATATATATATATATATATATATATATATATATATATATATATGTATATATATATATATATATATATATATATATATATATATATATATATATATATATATATATATGTATATATATATATATATATATATATATATATATATATATATATATATATATATATACATATATATATAATAAAAGTTAATCATTTTTACCTGCTCTCATTGCTGTCTCTCCAACGTAAGCATCATCAATTTTAAACACTCTAGTAAAGTCAAAAAAGGGAAGAATTTCAGCAACGGTGGCTTTTGTCATAATAAAGCCTCCCCCAGAGCAATATGGGCTGTAATAATCTGCTAAATGTTCTTTTTTCGAAACTCCATACCTACCAATCCGCTCAACTAAGTTGTTAACGACAACATTTCCATAGTAACCTTCCATGTTTGTATTTATGTTTAAAAATTGAAATGCGTTGTCAATGTTGACAAATACGTCATCGTCAATTTTTAAAATATATTCAAAGTTAATATTGTGCATACTCCAAGTAAGTCCGATGATAATTTTCTTAGCTAACTGATAAAAGTCTTCTGCAATGTCTTCGATTAAAATGTCTTTATACTTTTCAGCTTCCTCTGCAAGAGTTAGCATAACTTCCTCGTCATCTTCTTGCCCTGTCACAAATACTATTCTCCAATTCTTCTCGCTCCAAATCGTTCTATTTCCCCATAAAGATCTTATCCAACGCCTGCGCCAATTATTCCTCGAATGAGATGATACTATTATTAGAAGCTTATAAATTTGATTGTGTTTTGTAACACTATCTAAAGTAATATGAGTGAGCGTATAAAGTTCTTTCATTAAATCTATATCTTTTAATGTCAAGTTTCTATCTACTCTTTTATTTACTTGTTGTAAAGAAATTATTTTATCTATCTTTTGATTGGTAGCCTCCGTGTTTTTTTTAGCATCGTCAAGACGGTTGATAGCTGTGTAAAGGACAGCTTTAGTTTTTTCTGTTAAATTATCAAACTTTGAAATCGTAAAGTTTATGGTGGTACACATAAAGATTACCAAAACAACCAGAAGTATGATCGCAAGTACAGACATTTTAAAGTTTATTTGTATTCGTTGCATGATTTAATGTTGAAAGTCAGTCTAAACCAGCCGAAACCAAAGTCTAAAAGTTATAAATGTTAAATTTTATATTAATGACGTATAAAAACGCAGTTAAGCTATTTTTAAGTTAAGATTTGAAATAAATCGAAAGTAAAAAATAAATAATAAAATTTAAAAACATAAAAAAAATTATTTTGTCGGCGAAAATGTGCTAAAGATAATTTCATCGAACAAATTTTAGCTTGATAGTTGAAACAAGGTAAGTTGAAAATCATTAATGGAAATTTTTTTTTTTGCTAAGGAAACAGAGGTTACGACAGCTTATTTTGGTGTTTGAGATAACACTCAGACATGACGCAAACATTAAACTTAGGTTTATTTATGCTTAATATGATTTGCAATAAATCTTATTAAATAAAAACGTTACCATAAAAATACTTAAGTTTGAAAAGCTTTTAAGTTTCTCCTGAAACAGATTTGTGTACAAAATTATGAAATTGATGTTGACATCGTTTATAAGATGATTACTTATGTTTTACATTATTGTTTTAATGAATGAATGAATGATATTTTAATGAATGAATGATATGTAGATTTTTTCAATTTTTTCCGAAATATTTTGATTTATCTAAATAATATTAAACATAACCTTAATGCAAGTTATCGTATTTTTTATCATGCTTGTTCTCTGTGATTACAAACATAGTCATTGCGATATTAACAAGTTTAATATCGCAATATGTTGCGATATTAAACTTGTTTAATATTAAGTATATTTTATTATTTAAAACTTGAAAATTAATATTTAAAACATATAAAAGATAAAAGTTGTAAAAATTGATATATAAATTAGAATCGAGTATTAATATAAATTGTGAAAGAAAACATTAGTTAAATTTAATTTTTTTTTCTAATTCAACTATACATAATAATTTAACATTGAATAAACTCCTTATAACATGAATAGATATTCATTTTTTATACCATTTTTTAATTATAATTTTATGTTATAATATTTAATACTACATATGTAGGTACGCGAAAATCTGCGTTTTACAGAACTGAAAATTTTGCCAAAACTCTGTGCCATTTTTTTTGAAGTTTTTTTGCCAGTGAGAAAAAAACGTGTTTTTTTATCTTTTTTTTTTTATAGAGTTTGTATTAACATAGATGATTTTTGAAAACTAGAACAAATTTTATTATTAATTTTATTTTGATTACAATCAAGAATTTTAAAAGCAATTTTATTGACAAACAAAACTTAGTTTAAATATTCAATAAATGTTAAAGAAATTCATTTTTCTATTGTGCTATAAATGTTCTTTCATTTTTCTAACCTATACTTCCATTTAGGTTTAGACATTTTCTATAACTCTACCAAATTTCATTGTAAATTCTTTCTAGCACATACCCTATTTACACACGCACTTTTGGTACCTAATTTTAATCAACGGTAGGAGGTAGAAGCGGGGAGGGATGAAATAATAAAAACAACATTTATAGTTTTAGCAAAATAACCTGATTTAGATAACGATCTAGTGTTTACTCGGTACCGTTTTATAGTAGTTTAGAGAGTGCACCTTATATAATACTAAATCTCTTTTTTTAAATAAATATGAAAATATTTATATAAAACATTTTTGACAATAGGGTGTGTTAAAACACCACATCTATATTCACTCTATATCCACATCTATACTCACACAACATAAAAATATACCTTTCATATTTGAAAACAATAAACGATAACTTTTTGGAAATGAAATTTAGCAGTTTTACAAAAAAAAAAACTCTTCTATTAAAAAAAATATTTTTAGGTGATTAAGATGGTTGTTTATCGCCTTCTCTAGCCCAATAGAAAGAAGCAATTGTAAATTCGTAGCCCACTGTTACACTTACCTTTTGATACCAATTTGTAGGCATTTAGATAAGAATTGACCAAGTTATAACAATTTAAGTGAAAGAAAACTCAAATTTAACCACAATTTTTTCAACAAATCCATATATCAGAAGTTTGTTACTAAAAACAACATTTAACTTTTTGTATAATTGTTCAACTTTAATAATTTTTCCACCTTTTAAACACTGTATCAAAGGGCTTTTTATTGATATATAACATTCTAGTATTTTATGAATTTGAAAGTTAAATGTCATGTACCTACTCAGGAAAAAAAGTTCTATAGAATTTTATATAAACTTTTGAAACATATGGCCTATAGAAATTCTATAGAATTTTATAGAATTCTATAGGGTTTTTATAAAAATTCCTATTGAAATTTTTTTTTGCTACTTTTTTTTTTATAGAAAAAAAGGTTTTATAGTAATTTCTATAGAAATTAATAGACATTCTATAGAAATTTTATAGAGTTTCTATAGGCCATATGTTTCAAAAGTTTATAGAAAAATTCTATAGAACTTTTTTTCCTGAGTATATATATGTTATACATTTATTACTGCAACACAAACTTGTAATAAATAATTGGTATTAAATAAATTAAAAGATAATGATAAGTATAAAAATAAGAATATATAAATCGAGATTTAACATTTGCACAACGTGAAAGTAGAAAATTGTTTTTAAAAGAAAAAGATCGTTAAAAAAATGTTGACAACGTCAATGTCGTTACATTTTGAAAAATGAATCAATTATCAAAGTGAAATAAAATCAATCTGACAGTAATTTCCTATTCAATAAAAAAATATTATTACTTTAAGTATTGATATACAAAAGCTACAATTCGGTAATTTAAAAATAATAGAGTTTGAAACAAAAATCATGGTAAATTCATCAGATATCATACTTTTTTTGTGAAACATGGTTAAAAATGACTAATCTGTCAATATTCACAACTGCAACTGCTTTTACAATAATAGAAGAAACAAACACGGTGGACTCGTTGCTATTATTACAAAGTTTAATTGCTTTTAGTAGAGCAAGTAGTTTATTTGAAGAAGTTGAACAAGCTGTAGCATTCTACTTCATAGAACATAATCATTATTTGGATGTATATACCCAGCAAGCAATAGACGTTTTTCAAACCATCTAAAGTTGGTCTAATATGTACCTGTCGTAGATACGTCAGAGAAAAAAAGACGTCTGATTAGAGTAATAATATTTCTGTTTTAATTTAGATGCATAAAATAGACTCATGCATAAAGTAGACTCATGCATAAAGTAGACTCATGCATAAAGTAGACTCATGCATAAAGTAGACTCATGCATAAAGTAGACTCATGCATAGATAATTTTTTTCATCTAAACTTTAATCATCTAAACATCTTTATTCATCTAAACATCTAGTCTTTAAGATGTCTGTTACAGATTTGTTATAACAGAGAGCAAATTTTTAACTCATGACAAAATTATTTTGCAGAGCAATAGTTAAAATAATTTTAAATAACTATTTAAAAAACATGCGTCAGGATTGACGGAAACTTACTTCAAAAAAGGAATAAATATTAAACAAAGCTTTTATTATAGAATATATTATATATTATTAGCGGAGAATACATGAGTAATTTTTTCGAGTTAGTTGTAGTCTCCTGAACGAGCATTTTCTGAGGCAAAATTCCATGCTGATCACGAATTCACCATGCATTTTGCTGTACTACATCGTTTGATGTCGGATGGCGGCAATTTTTCAAAATGGTTGCTATAATGGCAGTTTTTCTTAGGCACCTACATCTTGATCTAGATTAGACATAGTGATATGTCCTTTCTATGGTTTTTTGGGTCAACGAATTCGAATTTCAATGTAAAATTGACCTATTAACAATGGTTTATTTTATATGAAAATAAAATACTACAATTTACAATTTTAAGACATTCCAAAAGTTAAGAGATTAATCTATAACTCGAGTCGCAGTGATGTAGAGATGAAATTGAACATAAGAACAAACTGTGGCTTATTAGTCACAGTTTGTTCTTATAAATTGATTGCGAACAGATATTATTGAGTATTTAATCAGCAGTTAAAACACTTTTTTCGATCATGTTGTTGATAAGATCATTCACAGGCTTGAGAACGTTTTTTATATAAATTCTTAATTCTTCAAGAGTAAATTTCTGCATTTTGATTTGTCCGTTGGCCAATTTCACACTGTCTTCTCTGTCTGATATCAGGAGCTACAGTAAGACGCAGATAACATATTTCGCTGAGGAGCTGACTTTCAGATATAAGGCTGATATTGAAATTTAGAAAATTTCAATATCAGACTGTGTCACAGGTACTCCATGCTTTTTAAAATTTTCCAGCACTTTGAAAGTTTTTGAATTTTTCTGCTTTTTCAGTTCTTCCTTTTTCACAATAGATAGTTTTCGGGCGGCCTGAACGGTTGCTATAAAGTTCTTTTCCATTTCTTTCTCTTGTCCCCGCATGCGAGCTCGGTAAAGGATGAATCTCTGAGTAGACCATTTTTCATCACTACATTTTTTTTGAATAACGTAATAACGCTTGTGGAGTCACCACATATTTGTCAAATTTTGCGAATTCTGATTCATACCCTAGGTCGGTGAGAGGTGACAGTTTCAACTTTTTGCAAGTGATGTTTAGATTTTTGAAGAAGTCCATTTCAGATAACTGTCTATTGAGCGTTTCTTATACTTTTTCCAGAATAGCACCAATAAGAAGGTCTTTACCAGCAGTTGATTGATTTTTTTCGGCTTTAAGGTTTCTGAGTTCAGGAACTTTGGTTTCAATAAATGTTCGTACACCATCCCAAAATTGTTCATCATCCGTGGAGATTTTACGTTCATCCACCCCAAGAAGATCTTAAATTGGAAATTTCAAGATATCGCCGAGTTCAGCATAGACTTCGGCACTCAACTAATATCATTTTGAATGTAAGTAGACACTGACAGCACTAACTTATTCGAATATGTCAACCACATTGCTGAAAAACTGCATTATTAACTCTCTCTGTTTTATGGACTGTTTGGAAATATTTGCGGTTCTTCCGAATCGGTTCGAAGTAAATCCACAAAACCCGCCGAGCTCATTCTTAGCATTCAGCAATTGTTTGTACTCGTTGTAGATAGAGACAGAATAATCCACATGGCTT